GACGCTTGGGGATGAGACTGTAAGCAGCGCCCAGTCGGCTCCAAATGCATTGCTTGTTTGGCATGCACACGCGACTGCCCAGAGCTACTCGCTCTACCGAGATGAACCGTGTCCATCGGCGCTGCCCCGCAACATGGTCGATCGAAAACATGACGTTCACTCCCTGAGATACTGCCAACTGCCTGATCAGCTAAAATAGTTATTCCATGCACGGAGTACCGATGTGGGGGCCTTGTCTGCGCAAGCTCGGTTCGGTGGGCCGTGGCCAAGAAGCGCAGCAACTGCATGACACTTCAACAGAAACTGCAAATTGGATGTGAATGCAGCCACAGCCGCCTCGCGGCCTTTTCGCGATGGGGTGGACCGTACACGTCGTTCATTTCTAATCGTGCTCATTTCTAACTGTGCTCGTTTCTAATTGTTCCTGGCCCCCTAGTGGCCAGGAAGAGGCCCAGGATAGAAGAATTATCCCAGTGCGACCCTACCTAGGAGTTGGAGCATTTAGGAAAGCAACATCTACATCTACACCGACAGCTGCGTTTACATCTACACATGCATCTAAATCTACATCAACATCAACAGCGAGACTCACATCTGCATCTACATATGCACCTACATCTAGACCTACATCTACGCCTACATCTGCATCTACACCTACATCTACATCTACACCTACATCTACATCTACACCTACATCTACACCTACATCTGCACCTACATATACGTATACAACTACATATACCTATGATGCGTTATGATATGGTATGCTATGATATGCTGCGCTATGCTATGCTATGCTATGCTATGATATGCTATGTTATGCCACGCTATGATATGCTATGTTATGATATGCTGCGCTGTGCTATGCTAAGCTAAGATATGCTCTGCTATGGTATGATACGCTATGATGCGCTATGCTATGCTATGCTATGGTATGATATGATATGCTATGCTGCGCTATGCTATGCTGCGCTATGCTATGCTATGATATGGTATGCTGTGCTATGATATGCTATGCTAACGCTGCGATAAGCTAAGCTAAGCTAAGCTGAGCTAAGCGAAGCTAAGCTAAGCTAAGCTAGGCTAGGCTAAGCTAAGCTAAGCTAAGCTAAGCTAAGCTAGGCTAGGCTAGGCTAAGCTAAGCTAAGCTAAGCCAAGCTAAGCTAAGCTAAGCTAAGCTAAGCTAGGCTAAGCTAAGATGAGATAAGCAACGCTAAACTAAGGGGGCGCAACTGGGGGAACCGCGGGGCGGATACTGGGGGAACCGCCCGGGGCGAGGAACACTGCCCGGCCCCTTTAAGCCCAGCGAGTAAGAACCCTCTAGGCAGAGCCTAGGTAGGGAACTATGCTATGCTATGCTATGCTGCGCTATGCTGCGCTATGCTATGCTACGCTAGGCTGCGCTATGTTATGCTAGGCTATGGTATGCTATGCTATGCTGCGCTATGCTATGCTATGCTGTGCTATGCTGCGCTATGCTATGCTATGATATGCTATGTTATGCTGCGCTATGCTATGCTATGCTGGGCTATGCCATGAAATGTTAAGCTAAGCTAAGCTAAGCTACAGCTACAGCTACAGCTACAGCTACAGCTACAGCTAAGCGAAGCTAAGATGAAGCTAAGCTAAGCTAAGCTAAGCTAAGATGAGATAAGCAACGCTAAGCTAAGGGGACGTAACTGGGGGAACCGCGGGGCGGATACTGGGGGAACCGCCCGGGCCGGTTCCCACTGCCCGGCCCTTTAAGCCAAGAGAGTAAGAACCCTTCTAGGCAGAGCCTAGGTAGGGAATTAGAAATGAGAGGATCTTGGCGCCCCAAAAAAATAGAGAACCCTCGAAGAACTAGAAATGAACAATGTGTAGATTAGTTTGCTTTGTTTGTCCAGGTCCTGAGGTGCGCGGCCCGTGGCCCACTTCGCGGTCTCCCCGTGCTGGGGCAGATCTCAAGGTCTTCCCTGGGTGGCCGTGGCCCGTAGCTTCCCTGCGGCCTCCTCGCGCAGGAGGTGAACGCCAAGTTTCGATCGGGGGGGCGGAGGGGCCATTGCCTTGTGGATGTCACGACAATAGACACCCTAAGAGTCCTATCATTGAATGTAAACTGTGTCTAAAATGTAAGAAAAATGTTCGAATCGTATTCCCTAACATGTTTAAAGCATGTTTAATGCATGTTTTAGACATCTGGAAATTATTTGGTAACATGTCTCCTCTCCAATGATCGTCCTCCACAACCATTGCCGCTGGCTAACCATGGCCGCTGGCTACCTCTTGGCCCCTCTCGTGGACCTCTCGCTCGGGGGGGGGTCTCAGAATCTGATTCGGGGCGCCGTGGTCTGGCCCCCTGGTGGTCCCCTCGTGGCCTCTTCGTGCAGATGTGGATCTCAACACTCGACTTGGAGACCTCGATACAAGGGTACCTCGATGCACAGGGGTGGACCTCGATGTTCCATCCACGGGGTGTGCAGCGCTGCGCCGAGGGGGCCGCCGCGGAGAGGACGGCGGCCTGAGCACAGCGGAGATCGCCCCCGCCAGGTGCTCCACCAGCCGGCCAGGCCCGGCGCAGTCCTCTGGCGCAGGTTCGGAGGCACGTCCCTTCGTCGTCACCCTCGCCTGGGCCCGCGATGGCGCCCCGAATCACCTCCCCCTCTATGCCCCCCATCCCCCCTCCCCCCTCCTACTTCCCCTTCTGCCTGTACCTATCGCCCCTCCGCCATCCCCCCGTCCTTCCCATGAAGATGGCAGAAGGGGCGTCGAGAGCATGGATTGCTTGGATTATCTTTGCAAGCGCGCTGGGTAGCCTCTCGCTCATTCGTGTCCAAAGGCCACTGTCTGAAACAAGGGAAGCCCTGCCGATGTACTGTCAGCATGCGTGTCAGGGCAGGAGGCAACGGAGGACGACTAGCTGGACGGAGGATAGGAGAGGGAAGAGGGAGAAAGGGATGCAGGGAAAGAGGGCAGAAAGGAGGGCAGAAAGGAGGGCAGAATGGAGGGCAGAAAGGAGGACAGAAGAGAGGGAGGAGGAGAGGGGGAGCGCTTTCTTTCCGAGCGCGCTCCTACGCCCCCCATCACTCTGTCCTGCCCCTGCGCTGCTTGTCCAGCCACGACCATCGTCATCGCGACACCCCCGCGGGAACAAAACGCCCCCCCCACCCCAAGGGCGCCTCCCGCAGCCAGGCGAAGCGCAGCGCGCCCCCGCGGTGGCCCAGCAGCCCCAGCCCCTGAGCGGCGGGACGGCCGGCCCCAGGATTGAGGAGAGGGGGGGGGGAGGGACAATCTGAACCTACGCTGAAGAGATCTCGAGCACGGCAGGCGGGAGGGGGAACGGGGGGAGGATGAAGCGAGAGGGGGGGCGGCAAGCGAGGTGCCTCCCATCCCTTCCCGTTGCGCTGATTCTGTTCCGCGGACACATGTCTTTGCCGACCTAGAACTGAAAGAAAAAAGTGTGATGCACAATCGGAAAGGGGGAGGCTGCGTACACAGAAGGGGGGGGAGGAGGTACAAAGGAGCGGGCGGAGGGAGGAGGCAGAGCGTCGAGCTGCAGCAGGGAGCAGGGAGCAGGGAGCAGGGAGCGGCGAGGTGTAAGAATCCCTTGTGCGCGCTTGAGCCTGGAGCCCAGGATAAATGACTCCATATCGAAATCACCCGCTTATCTGTTCATGTTGGCGGAGCTGTGGTGAGGGATCCTCGGAGGAAAATTGCATCCCCAACCCCAAGCAGGGCTCTGGGAAGACGTAGAAACAATGGCATCAGTGATAGACACAAAACTGTTAGGACGAGGTCTCAAAGATTTCTCCAGATATGAAAACGAATGGAGCGATTGGCGTTATCGTTTCGAATCCGATTGTGGAAGTGTGAGCCAAGTAATGCTGCAGAACATGGAATGTGCACGAGACCATGCGAATACCATCACACTAGCAGCTACATAAGAAGATGTATAGCAGCACTCTGCGAAGCTATCCTGCACTCTACAGAGTGTTGCGAATGGAGAGATGACGAACGTATTCAGGAACATAAAGAAAGGTAATGGCATTGAGATGTGTCGTAGGATGTGCATCAGGTGTGAACACAAATACAAAAATACGGAAAGAGAGGGCTCTGAATGCAGTTGTGAACTTTGGTTTCGCGGGCGCCTCCATCCCACAGGTTCTTGAGCGCCTCGAGGAGATGGAGTAGCTCATAAAAGAATACGATGATATAGATTCCCCAGACGAGCTAGCAGATGATGTGATCGTTAGCGTGGTCATGAAGACGATCCCAGAACCAATGAAAACACATTTCGAATTGAATGGTCATTCGCGCGAAACCTACGAAGATCTCAAACGAGAGATACACAAATACGTCGGAAGCAAACGTGTCTGGAAAAAAAACATATGGCAGAAAAAGATAACGGCACTAAGCCCATGGAAGTAGATGCCTTGAAGGGTTCTCCGAAAGGCACCCCCAAAGGCTTCCCGAAAAGTACCCCAAAAGGCTCTCCGAAAGGATCCTCAAAGGGTGACCAAAAGGGCTCTCCAAAAGGATCCCCCAAAAGAACACCGAAAGGAAGTTCCCAAGGATCTTGGTTTGGCCGTGGACACCCACCATCCTCCTGACGAGGACGGGGTTTCTCCACCCAGGCTCAGGGTTGGCACCGAAATGACCGTACATAAAGGTAAATGGAAGGATCAGCCTAACCCTGGAGGCAAGAGCGGGTGGAATCCGACCGCAAATAAATGGCGCGACACGTGCAGGATGAAAAACCATGGGACATCAGAGTGCCGGTTCAACGGCACAGGGAAACAGCGGTCAGGAAAAGGAAGCCACTCCAACGAGCAGGCATGGGATCAGAACTCGCGGGGCCCCGGCTTGTCTTGGGACAAGCAGGGCGACGGGAACCAGGACGCACGAGTCGAACAAGACGATGCAGATTGAAGTTCATACCCCGAGCACTCCCGCGAGGAGTTTGCGGCATTGATACCCGCGAGCGCCTTGCTACCAGAAGGCAAGGACGCACTCGATATCGAATACGGGGCTTCAGAAATTGAGAGTTGACCCAGTTAGGTTCGTGGAATCTGTTTCAGCGGACTCTCAGACTGAACCCACAAGTGAGGCCAATCACACACAGGGTGTAGTAGCGGGCTCTCGGACAGACCCCCCGAGCGGGGATTAAGAGATCGAGTTCTTCGGATGCCCCCAGAAGTTTGACATATCCTGCGACGATTCGACAATCCACAACATAACGTCACGCGTTCTTGAATTCGGGGGGTCGGGCAACGTTTTGTCGGTGATGTAACCCGTTTTCCTGTCTGTCGAGTCGAAAATCATGTGGTGTATAGTGCTGGCAACGTTGTGCTTCTCAGCACTGATGCGCGCTCGGGCCGACGGGCAGCAGGGCGTGAACACGTTCACCGCACAGCGGGGCAGTGCATCGGAGAGATCGCATCGCAATCCGCAGTTCCAGGCATTGATGGATTCTGGCACGTTTGCCCATGTATGCAATGTAAAATTTCCTCCTCTAATTCTTCTCATCCCTGCCCAGGGGACGGGTGGGGCAACCGCATCAGGACGCGACATGACACGTTTACGACACAAGGACGTCCCGATCGCGATACTAGGACAAGGTTGCGGCAGCGGTGTTGGTTGTGCGATTTGGCGCATTCAAAGAAGCACGCACAACTTTGATCAGCATCAAACGACTCGCGAAACAGAAAAGCGCACATTTCGCTTTAGACTCGAAATCGCCACCGCTAACAGGCCCTATCATACCCAACAAAATCATCATCAGAGAACGGGGCTTTCTGTGTCGAGTTGCTTGCCAGTTTGCAGATCCAACACACATTATGCCAATTGTTGAAAAGCAATCGACTCAGTCGGCGGCTCTCAGACCTTCGGATGAAACGCCAGAGGAGCTCCTGAAGACAATCCCAGCAAAATTGCACAAGGAAATCTTGGCGACCACCTCCGAAGGAGAACCTCACGCGGCAACGCCCGAAGCTCGGGGAACTCGCGCGCTCATCGGAAGTCTACCTAGCACATTGTCGCATGACAAGTTGCGGAGAAATGCCCATTGCGGTTCACTTGGGTCAAATGGTCCAGACTTCCTTGGACCCTCCTGGAAAACCGCGTCGATTGGACCAAACTGCAGAGACCAGAAGTTGGCATCATGCCAGAACGAACAATCCCGTTGCTTGTCCGTTCAGATACACCGACAAGCACAGTGAAACAACCATCGCACGAACAAAAAAGATACGCAACAGATGTTCAACAGAGCCTCTCGGGAGGCGCACCCCAACAGGTAGGAAGAGCAAAATCGCAATCGCAGTCTTCGAGCAAACGGAATCGCCAGCAGCAGTTCAAATACTGCCTCCAGGGACACATGCGATTGGTGAAGCTACATATGTTGAAACTACGTTTCAAATTGGGGGTTGTTTTGCATGGGGAACATGACGGACGGGCGCAGGTCAGCCTGCGTCCACACGTTGAAAGGCTCTGCGCGGAAACTTCTGGGAGATGGCGCGTCGAAAGCAGACCTGCCACACAAGGATGAGACATTCGACCGCATTCCCTGGATGCAACGTCAGCAGCTTCAGTCGATAACCATGTCCAGGCCCTCGAGGGGGCCACAGGCGCCACAGACAGAACGAGAGGAGGTCGACGAAGGAGAGAGGCCGCTGGCTCCCCAAATCCCCACTGGACCAACGCATAAAGAACAAGATGAGCAGAGCCCACATGTTCGCTCAGCAGGGACAGTTCTGACGAAATTTCAACGAAAGCCTCGCAACGAGAGGCGCGAGGTGAAACTCTGAAAGAAAACGACTCTCACTCCGCCAGGGCGCGGAGGGTGGGAGCCGAAGGCCGGCCATGGACAGGAGAGAGACGAGAAGACGAATGAGAGGGCGTGGGGACAAAGAAAAACCGATGTATAAACTCTAAGATTTCCTGCAGGCTGAAATTCGCGCACAACACGACGCTACAGCCGTTCATATCAAGCCGCTCAAGAACATATAGAGACCACTTCTTCGATCAGCAGGGACAGTTCTGACGAAATTCGGGCGAAAGCCTCGCAACGTCTAGGCGCGAGGTTAAAGTCTGAAAGAAAACGACTCTCACTCCTCCCAAATGTCCCGAACGCGAGAGTGTACTACGGATGGGCAGGGTGGGTGCGCTTGTTGCACCTACAAGCAGCTACTGCGGCGGCCGTGAGGGCTCGAACTATACAGTGCCCAAGTTCGGCAGGGCACGCTGCAGCTCGGCGCGCGCTTTTCCCTCGAGCTGAAGGCGGGCACGGCCTGCGCGCGAGCAAGCACCTCGCCCTCCGCGACACGTTCTGCAGAGGTTGAGCAGGTCGTCCTTTACAACGTTACAGAACATCAATCGTGTGTGTTTGTTTAGACCTAGCTCCGAACTGGCATGGAACTAATTCGACGAGTGAGACGGCGGGCAGGCGAGCGAGCGATCCTATTCCAGGCGCGCGCCACAATCGAGATGTGAGTGGGCGATCAATAACAGCTGGAAGATTGCGTTGCAAAAAGAATACAAGCAGCGAGAGGGCCGCGCGAGCGAGCTGATTTCCTATCCGAATTGTTTCGACATCAGCTGAGGAGTCCCCAGGGCGCCTCGCTGAACCTATCTTAAAATCCTATCGCGCGCCATTGAAAATGTCTGGCGCGAGGGCGCGAGCGACGCGGCTAAAATTTGCCCGCGGCGGCAGTCGGCCCCAACAGCGCCTGCAACCTTGCGATCCAGCAAATTCTGCCCGACAGGATCATGGGGCACGTCCCAACTGCGGGCTCTGAAGCCCAGCGCCTCGGTAGCTTTTGAGATACAGCGACTTCCAGCAAACAGGTCGGCGACGCACTGGCCCCACAGCTCCAGGAAGCGCCAGGCCTTGAGGTGCCCAGTTCGACCCCCGCGGCAGGCGGGGCGGGGCCCGCCCGGCCCGCGAGCTGGCGCTGCGGCGTTCGTCGTTCCAGGCTCAGGGCCACGCAGTGGGGCTGCACCAGCGGGGCTGCTCCTGCTTCCGCGCCGAGGGCCCGCCCTCCGCCGCTCGCGCGGCGGGCGGCCACCCGTCGGCTCCGAGGCCCGCTCGCGGGTCGACGCCAGGCGCTCAGCCAGCATGCGAGCCGTCCGCGGCAACCCCAGTCCTTCCCCGAGGCCGATGACCCGGCCGAGCCACCCCAAGCTTTCTGGCGCGGCCTCTGGAGCACTGGGAGACAGCACTACTGCCCGCGCTTGGCCG